TCACTTTATATTTATTTATTTATTTATTTATTTATTTATTAGTATTTTTACCCCGCCCTCCCCGCGAGCAGGCTCAGGGCGGCTTACAAGAGGGCAACAATGCCCACATATAAAACAAGATTAAAACAGCTTAAAACAAAAATAAAATCATCGAATCACACTTTTGTTTCAAGGTGCTGCTATCCCAAGCCGGCGATAATAAGAGGAAGGCTTCTGACCAAACTGCTATAATTACCTTTGCTTGGGTGAGCGCTGCTTTTTTGACTTGCAGTTGAGACTGCAATAGTTTGAAGTTTTTGGACCATCCTTCAGTCTTGGAATCGCTGGTCTCCACTCCCAGGTCATCGTAGAGAGACATTTTCTTCCCGGTTCAGAACTGCAAGGCAAAAAGATGGTGTGAATCAAAGGGGCAGCTATAGCACTCCAATTCATCATGGGCCCACAATTTGTTACGAGGTGTTTTAAGGATTTTAAAAAATAAGCACAGTTTGACCCTCAACTATTTGCACCCCCCCCCATACTTCTGTGTAAAGTGCCATCATTATATGGTGATCCCAGCAAGGGGCTTTCAAGGCAAGTGAGACACAGAGATGGTTTGCCACTGCCTTGCTCTGCAGAGCCTTCCTTGGGAGTCTCTCATCCAAGCCTTATGGTGACCCCAGCAAGGGGCTTTCAAGGCAAGTGAGAAGCAGAAGTGGTTTGCCATGGCCTTCCTCTGCAGAGCCTTCCTTGGTGGTCTCTCATCCAAGCCTATGGTGACCCCAGCAAGGGGCTTTCAAGGAAAGTGAGACACAGAGGTGGTTTGCCAGTGCCTTGCTCTGCAGAGCCTTCTTTGGAGGTCTCTCATCTAAGCCTTATGGTGACCCCAGCAAGGGGCTTTCAAGGCAAGTGAGAAGCAGAGATGGTTTGCCATTGTCTTCCTCTGCAGAGTCTTCCTTGGTGGTCTCTCAAACCAGCCAGAAAGGGGCTTTCAAGGCAAGTGAGAAGCAGAGGTGGCTTGCCACTGCCTTCCTTTGCAGAGCCTTCGTTGGAAGTCTCCCTTCCAAGTACCAACCCCACTTAGCTTCCAAGATCTGACGAGATCTGGCTATACCAAGCTGCCTTCCTTTCTCTCCCAGTACTTAGCTATTTGATATTTAGGATAAACAATTGTCGAGTACTTTCCTAAAGTAGCAGACTTTAAGCAGGCTATAAAGTAACTAACTTTCACTACACATTATCCTACTATGTAATTCCTGCATCGTTTAACATGCCACATTAATGTTTCAGCTTTGTTCCAGATTTTCATTTGGTTATTAATTCCTGCATCCTAATCCTACTGCACTGGTTATCAGGTGTCCCATCCTGCCGACTGCAGTGACGGACACTGTTTAATCCCCCGTTACCCTCAGTGAGACAGGCGGACAAATAGATAATCTATACATAAAATAATTGCTCTTTTTGATCAACATGATTAAGAGAACGGATTCAGCTTCTAACAAGGCATTTCGAACTGAATATGCTGGTCACGTCTCAATCGATTTTCAAATTACGCCAACGTTTTTGCATATGCAGTCACAGGCAGCGCAATCTGCAAGCCATTCCAGCTGATATATCACTAATAAAGCCTAAAATGATAAACACGCAATAAAATCTAGTAAGGATGAACCCAGGTGGGACTAGGATATGAAAAATATATATTTGAAATGGTTCCACCGTCACAGTCTGAAATAACCAAGCCATCCACATTAATCAGTTACATCAAAACTGTACCTTATTAGCTCTTTATCCCACGGTGTTTTTTTTAACAAATTTTATTCAAAATATGTATCCAGCCCTTCCATAACATCTGCTCAAGATAGTTCCTTCTTCCAAAGAGGGAAGCTTAATACCTTTTATCTGCAAAATAACCCTGAGAAGTAGTGACTGACCAAAGGACACCTAATAAGGTTTGCAGCAGCATGGATATTTGAAATAGAGTTTCCAGGTTCCCCCTGGCTACCAGCGAGGTACGGGGGTAAGAATTGTCAGATCCAGGTCGGGAAACTCCTGGAGATTTGGGGATGGAGCCTGGGGAGGACAGGGACCTCAGTGGCGTATAATGCCACAGAGTCCACCCTCCAAAGCATCCGTTTTCTCCAGGGGAACTGATCTCTGGAGCCTGCAGATAAGCTGTCATTCTGGGGGATCCCCAGATCCCACCTGGAGGCCTACGCTATCTGCTGCATATCCCAGCTGAATGTCTAAGCCTACTGTAGATCTGTCAAGAGATGGAGCTGTGATGGATCAGGCCAACGGTCCATCTATATCCAGCATCCTGTTTCCAACAGGAGCCAATCAGATGCTACAGGAAAGCCCATAAAAGCCCCTCCAGTTATTTTTATAGAATAGGAAGGGGCCGTAGAGGCTATCCAGTCCAAACCCCCCCCCCAATGTGGGATCAGCCTAGAGCAGTGACGGCGAACCATTTAGAGACCGAGTGCCCAAACTGCGACCCAAAACCCACTTATATATCGCAAAGTGCCAACACGGCAATTTAACCTGAATACTGAGGTTTTACTTTAGAAAAAACAACTCATAACATTAACTTCAGATGATCCAAACAAAGTAAGGAAAGCAATCCCAAATGCTTTCATTTACTTAACATTATATGGCAG